ATATACAAAATTTAAAATAAATTAAAAGATATATTTAAATAGGCCTTTTTCTTATTTTAAAAGTTGATTAAAATCCAATTTAAAATATCCCTAGGCCAGTCCTGCCAGCTGAAACAGCCATGTCTTGAGGGCGCGGCGGAAGGAGGGGAGATCTGGAATCACCCGGATCTCTGGGGGCAGCTCGTTCCAGAGGGTGGGATCTCCAACAGAGAAGGCTCTCCCCCTGGGGGTCGCCAACCGACACTGTCTGGTTGACGGCACCCTGAGGAGACCCTCTCTGTGGGAGCGTATCGGCCGGTGAGAGGTGATCTGTGGCAGAAGGCGGTCTCGGAGGTAGCCAGGTCCGATGCCATGGTGCACTTTAAAGATGATGATCTGCAGGGACTCGTCCAGAAGTCAAGTCCAGTTTGAAAGTACACACAAAGAAGGTTACCATTAATAAAGGCAGAGCGACTCTGAAATTAGGCAAAATAAGGCGATTGTTTTAGACCAGAAATTTTGACTATTGGAACATGACAATAAACAGCTAGCTGTTTTGTAGGGCCCCATTGTTTACTTATCCTTAGACTCAAAACTCTGCAAAAATGGATAATGGACCATGGCAGGAAATTTGTAGGAGAGAACGTGTGTTTGTGTTTGTGTTTGTGTGTGTGTGTGAAGACTCAAGTTCCGGTTTTTGTTGTTGTTGCTGTAATGATTTATTGTGGGTTGTGATTCCTACCTGGCCAACGTGGTCCCAAGATCCCCTTTGCTTTCCGAAGTGGTTGTCTCCCAACAGAGATCCATTGGCCCCTCTGTGAATAGCAAGATCAGGTTTTCAATCATCACATTTTGGGTAGATGCTCTGTATAAATCGTCACCCCATTTTTAGGTTTTTGGTGTGCGTGTATCTCTCAGTTGCAGGACAGCCCTGGAGAGGGAGAGCTGATCCAGAGTTCGGCGTTTCCTTTTTCTTTCTTTTAAATCGTCTAACTTGGCCTCTTTTCTGAGTTCCCACCCAGTGATATAATTCCTGGGAAAAATGCCCTTGCGAGAAATATGGGACACAAGGATTGTAGCGAATGCTCCGTTCTTTTGGGACACCTGCAGATGTTCAGCATTTGTTAAGCCATGGATTAAAAGGAGTGGAGAATTTGGGGGGAGGGGGGTTGGACA